TTAATTGCTTTTTATTGTGACAACTCAGGCTTTCATGGTCCTTAGAAGTAGTATGATCTTGAGTTTTTATTAGATGAAGCATTGCCAACTCATCAATTAATTTTAGAGTAATATTTTTTCATCTTAATTTTAATTGCTTTTTATTGTGACAATTCAGGCCCTTGCTCTATGGCCATTAGTATTAATATTATCTTGACTTAGATTTTGTGTAAACGACTGTACAAAAGAAAATAAAATATTAATGGGTTAAAATGCCACTTTAAACCATCTAAAACCCCCTCTACTTAATTACCTCCTGGATTTTTTCAACTGCGTGGTACTGCCCACCTTAGAATCCTGGATATAGATTTACTTTTCAGTTTTTCCTCATCCCTATTTGATATTATTGTTTTTTTTATACACAGGTAGTATTAATAGAAATATTATTTTTTTATTAGATAAAGCATTTTTAGTTATTTTTAATTTTTGACTAGTATTTCTTTCATCTTAATTTTAAGTACTTTATTTTCACTGTTAATATTAGTGGTGTTGATATTATTGTGAATATTTATTTGATTAGCAAATATTATTAACTTTAAACTATTACTTTTTCATCTTGATTTTAATCACTTTTTATTGTGACTATTCAGGCTCTCATTCTATGGTCATTAGTAGTAATAGTATCTTGATTTTTATTAGATGAAGCATTGTCAACTAATCAGTTAATTATAGACTAGTATTTCTTTCATCTTAATTTTAATTGTTTTTTTATTGTGACAACTCAGGCTCTCATAGTGATTATAAGTAATATGATCTTGAGCTTTTATTAGATGAAGCATTGTCAACTCATCAATTAATTTTAGAGTAATATTTTTTCATCTTAATTTTAATTGTTTTTTATTGTGACAACTCAGGCTCTCATTCTATGGTCATTAGTAATAATAGTATCTTGATTTTTTATTAGATGAAGCATTGTCAACTCATCAATTAATCCAATCTAAAAATCCAATATTTGTCCTAGGGATATGTTTTAAAGTCAGTAAATGTAAAGATTAATTAATTGGATTTTGTAACAGTAATGCTTACTTTTACTTAAAACATAATTAAAATAACATTTATATATGCATGGCAAACTGTGGTGTCATAGGTAAAACAAAGAAATTGTATAATTTCACTCCTGACTTAAGAAATGTATGAAAAATAAAAATTAAACGAATACAGAGCACTAGTTATAGCATCCCGCTACCATTTTCTTTCAATGCCAAATTCTGTGCAAAAAGTGGATCACAGAGTCTTGATATTTTTCTCACTTCTCATTGGTCGGTTAATATTAAAATCATGTTCTCAACTTCATCCAAATAACATCAACCTCGTTCCTGACCTGAACAAAAATACAATTCCGCCCCAAATCTGTCTATGCCTTTCTGAGCCTTAGTGATTATGTTTATTATAAATACTGTGACACAAGTTCTTTCTTCCTCTTTTTGATTTCTCATTTACTAAAATATAGCTGCTTAAGAAATTACATTCCGACCTCTTTCGGGCGAACGCTATAGAAACATATTCATATACGCACACATACACGTATGTACAGAAACTTAATTACAAACATTACGAACATTACAAGCATCAACATATTATGAATATTCAGCTACAAGCAGCGGAAACTAATTAAACATTAGTAGAATGGATAATTTTTTTTGTATTACATTAGATTGGAAGTATAAAAAAGAAATTAAAAATTATTGAAATTATACTTTAGAGTTTAATTTATTTATTTTTTTATTTTCATTTTTGATTTATTGTTATAAAATATTTAATTGCACTCAATGAAGTCCTTTTTAATTATTGAATTATCATATTATTTTTCTGATAGAGAAGTATGGTTAAAGGCGGTAATTCAGAATTATTTTCTTTTTGAACATCCATACAAAATATAATCTAACAATTGTTAAAATAAAAATCCTTTTAAAAAAAGGTTTACAATTGAAAATAGCATAAAACTTTAGGTTTTTTGATTCTTCAAACATGTCAGTATTTAATAAAAAATAAATTAAAAACAATTCTTTTCACAAACAGCAATGGGATAAATTTCAAAAAATAAATTTCAAAAAATTACAATTATTTTTTTTTTTTTTAAATATTGTAGATTTTTTAGTTCAATCTAAAAGAGAATAACATTATTTTATTAAATCATGCAAGTTACCAATTGTCAGAAAAATTTATTTTTTTGAGAATTATTGAATTATTTTTGTAAGGTTCGGCAAGAATTTTCCACATATTTGCAGTTGATATTGATAATTTTTTTTTTTACTCAGATGTGCTTCAGGGATTTTTCTTTAACTGTAAAAAAGAATTTTGCAAATACTCCCTAAGTTAAAAAAGTACAGATAAGATATTAAAGGGACAATTAACCCCCCCGGCAAAAAATATCTCCACAATGTTTGCTAAGTAATGAATTTAGTATAACAATCAATTCATTCATTAATGAATTTGAATAAGTGCTGAAAATTTGGTTTGAATCAGATAATTTGCTGAAAACAGGGAGTAGTGAATTTTTACTTTAATTTTTGAAAAAAAAGTATCCATTTTGGTGGTACTTAATACTTACCCAGATTGTCATTCTATGACTATGGATCACTGAATGTATATAGGTACCTCTACTAATTCAGTATATGTAAGTTTTAAAAGAAATTTTTAAAAATTAAAAGTTTTCTTGAAGTTTTCATTTTAGCTTTAATTGAAAACTAAAGGATTTAAAATTTACTATTTCCAGTCAGCAAAATACTCTGTGGCGTATTCCAAATAGAAATTATATTGATCGGAATCAATTTTTTTTTCAGTAAAATTGATAAAAACGGCCATTTTGACACATTTGTAAACAAAAGCTAATTCTCGGTTTTAAAATTCTTGCACAAATAAAATATATATTTCTGAAATGTTGAGGAAAATTAGCAAATTTAAAGTTAAATTAATCTGGCTTGAAACAAACATTACTTATGTATAGCATAAAATGTTGTATACTAGCATTTCTTAACCATGAGGTCTTGTTTTTCTGACATGTTAATTGATTTATTGATAGATAATAACAGCTGAACATCTTCATAGTTAAGTATGGTGAAGCAGATGATAAAGTCTATATGGGAAGTTTTCCTGTAAGGGGGGACAACTCTTTAAACATGTGCCCTTTTAATGATAATGTAATAATAGGTTTGAAGATCCATACTTAGAAATTCTGCATGTATATCAAACAAAAACAAGTTGAAATTCTTTTAAAAATATTTGGGTCATCAGATTGTAATAAGCTTTACAATATATGATTTGTAAAGCTACCTCCATGAAATCACTAAAAATCAGCATACCATGATGAAAACATGCTCCAAACGTAATGAAAACTTAGTTTTATTGTAAAAATCTTCATGTTATTATTAAGAGGAATGATCAAAGCATTTTTTTAATATTTAATAAAATTTTTTACTCCTTTTTAGAACATTTGCAATTTTGATTAAAAAACTTATTTTTCTTGCATCAGTGGTTGTACTAACTTTCAGCATAGCAAATTTTAGCCCCTTTTTTGCCATGACAGACACATTAATTTGAAAATTCTTACAAAAATCAAATAATTGTCGGATTTTAATGAAATTTTCAGGACTTCTTCACAAATGAATGAAATTATTTTTTAAATTTTTCTTATTAGAAAATCTTGGTAAAACTATATTTTTTTTTTACATGTTTCACCCCCTTACTTAATTTTATAAATTTAAATCACCAAATTTTTTTTATGAAATCAGACATTGTTTTACTGAAAATCTGTTCTGAACTGAAAAATAAAAAACGCACTAAAACTAAGTTATTATTTAATTGGAGAGGTTTTTAATTATTTATGAATACAGTGTAACCCGGATATAAGAGAGTTGTTGGGACTGGAGAAGAAGTCTCTTATATCAGGGTTTCTCTTATATCCGTTTCTTTTATATACATTAACATAGGCTCTAATTTAGGACCAGAGAAAATCTCTCTTATATCCGGGTCTCTTATATCCGGGTTACACTGTAATAAAGACCATATTGACTGAAGAAAAAAGATTTTTTGATGAAAAATGAATTTTTACAAGATTTGTTTTCATTTTTCTACAATTTTAAATTGAATAATTTATAAAGTTTTAAATACTTTAAAATTTAGTTTCAATGCGATAATGTTTCTTAGGAAATATTGTTAAGTAAAAAAAAATGACAATAGGTACTATATAGTGATGATCAGTGAAAGTAAAGTTGAAAAAAAACTATCTGGTAGTTACTGTAACATTTTATTTTTGTACAATCTACATGATGAGAAAGAATAAAAAAACAAAAAAAATTGTGGAGAGTCATGATCGCCAGCGTATTGAAGGGACATGGCACTTTCTTTCTTTATCTGTGAATTGACATGACTTGGCTTGGGAAAGATGTAGTTTTCTGCATGGTTTTCCATTCAGAATAGTCTTTTTTACTCTTTCCGTAGACTGGCTACCATCCAAGGCTGGAGAGCCCAGTTTCATCTGCTTGTTAACCCCAGTTGGGGATATAAGAAATTAATTCATGCTTTTTTCAAAGGAATTCGTGCGAAGAGACCGCCAGAGACTTGGCAGAAACTTGAACCAGGGTCACTTTCGGCGCCAATATAAACGTTACGTTCAGGTAACCGCACAAAAGAAATACTCGTAAATATATGTTAATTGACAACACTTTATCTTAAAAATGAAAATAACCTAAGACTATTTTCAGCCGAGAAAGCTTTGTTTTGAAAGTTTGTATTTGTTCCTTTGTCTGGGCTCGAACACTATCCGCTCGAACTAGTCTTCTCGGGTCGGAGCGTATACAGTCTGCTAAAGTCTCGTATCCGAGCCTGAGTCACGCGAGACTTTCAAATGCCAACATGGCAGACGTGGCAGGTGTAGTCAGATGTAGGTAGATGACAAAACTTACACTTCGTGGCGGACTCTTGACAGTTTATTAGTTCGCCTTTATTTGTGGACTGGAGCAATGGCATCAAAGAATGTCTTTGCCGTATTTGTATGCCTGCTGGTGACAATGGCCACCCTAATGGATGTCACTGGAGGAATGTCAACAATGGAGAGAAGAGGTCTAAGGTAAGAAGAAGAAAACAAAAGAAATTGAATTGAAGTTGGAATCGTTTCTGATTTTGTTTCGTGTACTTTGTGGACGAAAGAATCACTGTTAATGACTAATTTATTTCTATATAAAACTAGGTACTAAAGCTGATTTTTGTGTACTTTGTGGTGGTGATGATAGAGTTTTTCTTCAGTCACAAGTGATAAATTTGTTACTTGGTGAGTTTCAAGAGGATCTCTTTTAAAAAGTTTCCAAGGGTTGAGGTTTGTTCTTTGGGAGGAAAATAAGGAGTAAAAAGAAACAAAAAGTATCGTTATTGATCTATTTATTTCTTTATACAGGTATATTTGTTATACCGGCGAATTTCCAAGTTTTTTTCTTCTTCCAGTTTTAATCTGAGTGTATTTTTTTACAGGGTGGGGCTTTACAAAAATTAATTTTTTAAAATACAAGTACGAATTCATGTTTCTAATAATGAATAAATAAAAAATAAATCAAGATTTATTCATTCTTGTTAATAGTTAATTTTGGGGGATTGAGTAGGAAATCCAAATAGTGTTTTAAAAATAACATGTCTTTTTCTTTCTTTCTTTTTTTTTTTTTTTTTTTTTTTAAAAAAAATAAACTTGGCTTTATAACGACTATTTCATGATTGGGGAACTACTTTTGTTTAAAAATCGTTGTGGGGCTTCATTGAAAATGTCTTGTCTTCTTAATTGACCCCCTTGAATTTTGTCGACTGATTTAACATAGATAACTAACTTAATGATTTTCTATAGGCCTTTATGAAAAAAGATTTTTAATTCTCTTTGCGATCATTTTATTAATGTTTACTTACAAAATAATGTAATTTTTATTTAATTTTATCATCATTTTTCTATGTGTATGTGTTTTTTTATTATTATTTTTTTTACTTTTTTTATAAGTTAATTGTTCTTAAAAAAAAATGACGACTATATTTTTTTAGCAAATTATTTGTTATTTATTTACTGGTTTTTTGTTCAATTTGGAACTTCTGATTTCCGAATTGTTTATTTCAAACAAAAAATTACTTCTGTTGTTTGTTTCGTGTTTGCCGTGTAGATTTGGGCTTGGTTTTAGTTTTGTTTTTTAGAAGTATAACTATAAATTCTACAAAAAATTTTGTTTAGGGTCCTTTTTTTATGACATTCTGCAACTACTTAAAGAAGCTAAAAAAAAAAAAAAAAAAGTCCAGGCCAGTACTCTAGTTTTTGTCGCTTTGTCGCCCATTGAAGCAAGAAATCAATAATTAACTGAAGCTTAGTGGCTGGGTATCTCGACAGCACCTCCCCGTTGCATTAAGATTGTTTGGGTCAGACGCACATCCTGTTACCTATCGCAATAATTGAGGGAGCCTGTGTATTTCTAGATAACACGCCATGTGACCTTGAAGTACATATGGGTCACTTGGTACCTTAGATTAAGAAGACCCTAGGTCACAGTTGTCCTTGTCGGGTGGCAAATATGATTTAATTTTAATTTCAGAAAGATTTTCAATTTTTTTTTTTAAAGTAAAAGTGGGGGAATAGAAACCATTAAATAAAACAGTAATTTTCTTTCAGTTTGAACAGCAAAAATCTATGTAGTTAAATTTCTTACTATCATTTATTTCACTTAAATTTCAAAATAAGTTTTCAAATTGAGTTTTCATTTTGTTTTATAAACTATTTTTAAAAATAATCTAAATGGGTGATTTAAAAAATATATTTGAGTTTAAATCTCTGATCAAGAGAATTTGTTAAAACTTAAAATAAATAAGCAAGTAAATGTTCTAAAAGTAAAGATTTTACAGCATCAGTAGTACTGTGAAAACATCTTGTTATTCAACATCAGGTTTTATCTTCCTTAGAATCAATATTTTCATATAATTACTAATTTTTATAAAAATCAAGTTTCTCAAAACATGACAACTGATTTATTTCAATTTGTTAGAAACAACACATTGTCCATAATTTAATAAAATTCTTTAAATATTTGAAAATGATCAGATTTGTCTCTTTCGCTCATTTCTTCAAAGTAGTGTTTGAGTTTTTGCTATTTATTTTAAATTTAGCAAAAATTCCTAAAAAATTTTAAATTTGTGTAAATTTTTATTATTTATTTTAATCCATTGCAAGATCAGCTACTAAAAAAGTTGGTTCACTGTGTTGAGCGAGACAATTTTTCTTTCCAGAAGATATCATATATATATATATATATATATATCTATAAGTCTTCCATTCTCCCATGCTTAGAATATTACTATCACATATGGTCTGTTGTCCCTGCTATTTATCTTGAGCTCCTTGATAAAAATCAAAGGATCAGTAGCAATGTTATCAGTCCTGATCTGGCGGCTCAACTTCAGACTATTTCCCGCTACTGTAATGTTGCCTGTCTCTGCCTTTTCTATAAATACTTTCATGTTAATTGTTTGGATGACCTCTTCACTATGATACCTAGACTTTTTGAATTTAAACGCAGTTTTAGACTGGCCTTGAGATCTCATCAATTTACAGTTGAGTTATCTAGATATAACTGTAACAGTTTCTTTTCTTGCACTTCTCATTTGTGAAATTCCCTTCCAGATCCAAGCTTTTCTACTAACTTTTATCTTAAAAAAATTTAAATGCAATGTCAATCACTATCTACTGTCCTCCTGATTAATCTTTCCTCTTCCTGCTGTTTTTAATTCTTCCACACCACTTGTGTCTTAGTGGCTTTATTGCCTTGCATGGAGTAATATGGATTTAAAAAAAAAAAATCAATCTAGCCCACTGGTTCCCCACCCTTTTTTTTTGTCTTTGTCCCACCTAAGCATCTTTAAAATCCTGATGCCCCCCACTCCATGACATATATTTCTTATTCAAAAATTAACTTCTATTCACTTGGAATAAAAGGCCATTAACTTAACTTTTCCTTAAGAACTTGAAACTGCCAACAATTTACACAAGCTTGTTAGGTAGGTTATGCTATGTTTTCTTCTGTCCCTTTTGCTTTCAATATGTCCTGTGAGTGTCAAATTTTCCAAGCCCTCTTTCCTCATTATGCGCCCTAGAAATTTCAACTTTCTGAAGTGTTCTTTTTGTTTCCATTTTCACTAAAATGTTGTCATTGCTAACATGTTCAGTTCATGATATTTTTAGCATCCTTTTGTAGAACGAGATTTGTTGCCTCAAGTCTCTTCTTCATCTGTGATGAGATTGTCCAGCAGTTACTGCTACATAGGAGAACCAATATTATATAACATTACATTATATTTTAAGCTCTACTTCTATATTAAGCACTTTTTTTTTCTTTTTTTTTCTTTTTTTTTTTTTAAAAATAAAAACAAATACTAAAAAACTTTGGATCATTAATCTGACAGTTCTTTCCTATTACATCAATATATATATATATATATATATATATATATATATATATATGTGTGTGTGTTTATTTCTGACAAGATTTTCCTGTTTTTTAATATTTTGCTTTAAATTTTGGAAGGCTTCTTTTGTTATCCCAATGCACCTCTGGATTTCTGTGTCACATTTTCTGTCCTCTGTTAAAACACTTCCTAGATCTTGATTTTTTGTACTTGCTCAATTTTGCTATCTCCAATTTTTAATTCACCTGTTGGGGGCAGTCTTCTTTTTGCTGTCAACTTTACACTGTCTTCTTACAATTGATATTAATCCTTTCTTCTTGCTTTCCTTTACTATCTTTTGTAGGGGTTCTTGTATTTTCTTTTCTATATCTGCTATCAACACTGTCATTTGCATGTCTTATGTTGTTAAGGTAATAACAATAAATAATAATGATAATGAATTCTGGTAGGTATTTTAATTCTCTCAGAATTACCTCACTGTAAAGATTGAATGAGTCTAGTGTGAAGACATCCTTGTCTCATGCCCCTTTCTAGAAAATTTTAAAATATATCTCAGATTTATAATTTTCATGTCAGGCTGTTACTTTTGCTAGCAACCATGATTCCGTCTTCTTACAATTGATGTTTAACCTTTTCTTCTCACTTTCTTTCACTACCTTTTGTAGGAGTTCTTGTAGTTTCCTTTCTATGTTTGCTATCTGTTGTATCCTTAAAGAGGTTACAAATAGACAAAGGTGCTACTTGAATGAAGGAACAGCAACACACGAGTAGATGAAAGAAAGAGAGGTTTATTGTAAAAGAGAATACACTACTGAAAGACGGGAATCTGGTAGCAGGCTAGTAATTCCCGAAGCAAGTAGCAGGTATATCCTGTGCTCACTATATATATCTACTGATATAGTCAGTCCACAGAGGCAATAGGGAGTGTGGGACATTCCATTACAATACTATCAATACCATGTCATCTACATATCTTATGTTGTTAAGATAATAACAATAAATATTAATGATAATGAATCTTGGTCGGAATTCTAATTCTCTTAGAATTACCTCACTGTTATGGTTGAATAAGTCTTGTGTGAAAAGACATCCTTGTCTCATACCCCTTTCTAGAAAATTAATTTTGAATTTCCTTGTTAGATTGTTTCTTTTAGTGACAATCATAAATTATATCTTCTTGCAATTAATATTTAGTCCTTTCTTCTCTCTTTCACTACCTTCTGTAGGAGTTTTTGTAGTTTCTGCTATTACCACTGTGTCATCTGAATATCTTATGTTGTTAAGATTGTGGCCAATAATGAATCCTGGTAGGACTTCTAATTCTCACTGTATCACCTCACTGTATAGGTTGAATAATCTATTTTTGTATATTTACTGAATTCCTTTTATATATGTATGCAGGTAGTTCCAGCATAAGTTCTGGATTGTTCTAATACCTGTCCCAAATATATCAAGTTTACTTAACAATTTTATCAGTTCTTCGTCACCTACTTTATCAAATGCTTTTGTATAATCTATAAAACATAGATATACATTATTTGGACTATTGTCCTCATCTTTGTTGCCATATTTATCACAATGTTTCATCCATTGTACACTCTGGCCTTCTTCAGGTGGTTGGAATATTGAATTGAACCCTTTATTTCG